ATATATATATAATGCAATAAATTGGTAAATTTATTTCAGTTTATGTCAGATTTAGGACTATCAACTTTTATACTGAGAACTAGTTAACACCAAATTACACAAACCATGATTCACTTATAATTTAAGGTTCATCGATAGAAAGCTTGCTGCTATTTATGTATTATTTGTACCAATATAACTTGTCCAATTTCTTGATCAGTTTATTGGATCAAAAATTGCTAATGCTTCGTAATTTTACTGTTGTGAAATGCTACACAAAGTGACTGCTACTAAACTAATGCATAGAATTAAAGGGTCAAAAGAATTTCCGAAAATTTTCCGTGATTTTTGACAGACTGTATTTAGGTGAAAAATGGTCGTATCGGGAATTAAAAAAAAGCATTTTGAAGCTCTAAGATTCTAGTTTCTAGATCTTTCGGTCGAAATTTTTTAAGAGCTATGGTTATCACGCAATTCTAAGAAATAGCGTAACAAGAAAATTTTGCATTTTTTTTTTCAGGTCCACGAATTTGAAAATTTTTTTTCAGCTAAGCCATTACATGGAGCAGATGACATGTTTATTCAGCTTCAATTTCCTTTTTTTTTTAAATTTCGATACGACCATTTTCATGGAAATATCGGACTTTTAATGGAAAAAGATCCTTTTGTCTTCAATTATCGATATCTCGGCGACAAATGGTCGTATAGAGAATTGAAGGGCAGTTTCGAAATCTGGAATAAATTTCCTATAACAAGCTACCGCAACTTTTTGGAAAAAAAATTTTTTCAACTTTTACACGAATTTTAAAAAACAGGAAGAAAGTGTAATTTATGGTTTTTTAGAAAATTGACAGCTAAATTAGAAATATTCACGAAATGACTAATGTTAAGGATGACTTTTACAGTTCGATATACCCAGAAGAATCCTGTGAAGTTTCATCTCGATCTAGTGAACCGTTTCTGTTTCAAACAGTCAAACTTTTGAAAAAATTAAAGGGTCACGTTTTTTGAGCTTAAACGCTTCATAATCATGATTAAAATGGAAAAAAAAGTTGAGGTTTTCTCACATTTTTTTTTACCGCAAATAACGTTTAAATTGATCAAAAACAGAAAATTCGAAAAATTTTCTAAAAAATTTTCGAAATATTGGATTTTTTTTGCTTTTTTGGAAAATCTTCCGGACACTGAAGAAAACAAAATCCAATTGTTTCGGGCCTGATTCGGCTTTTCCGTCCTATACTTCTGTTCATCAATTTTTAATTAAATTAAAATTAAAGTTGATGGCCCAATTCAGATTTCGACCCAGATCATACCGTTTTTTTGAGACAAATTTCTAATTAATTTTTGTGCAATCTGTAATCACTTAAAAAACAGTTTTTATTTTCAAAACTACCCTTTTTCTTCTCTGAAAAAAAATTTCAAAAAGTTTTGTTTTCATCAATTTAAAAGTTATTTGCCGTAAAAATGTGAGAAAACCTCAAAAAAAATTGTTTCCATTTTAATTCACCTTTTTTTCCTGTTTTTTTAAATTCGTGTTAAAGATGAAAGAAAAAAAATTTCCGAAAAGTTGCGGCAGCCTGTTATAGGAAATTTATTACAGCTTTGGAAACTGTCCTTCAATTCTCTGTACGACCATTTGTCGATATCGATGATTGAAGGCAAAAGGATCATTTTCCCTTAAAAGTCTGATATTTCGATGAAAAATGGTCGTATCGAAATTTAAAAAAAAGGAAATTGAAGCTTAATAAACAAACTATCCAATGGCTTAGATGAAAAAAAAAAATCCAAGTCCGTGGACTCCGTCCGTGTATAATAAGCGTAGCTCCTAAAAAATTTCGACCGAAAGATCTAAAAACTAGAATCTTAGAGCTTCAAAATGTTTTTTTTTTAATTCCAGATACGACTATTTTTCACCTAAATACAGTGTCAAAAATCACGGAAAAATTTCGGAAATTCTTTTGACCCTTTAATTTTTTGCATTAGTATAATACATGTCACTTTGAAGGATGTGACGTTTCGTATGCATTATTTTTAAGACAAATTTTTTGGTAGTAGAATTTCAAGCATGAAAACTATCTTGTCATTCAATTCATTCAAATAATAGTTGATGACATTTTCTAATGTAAAAAGTGTCCAAAAATGTAACTACATATATCAAATAAATTATCAAAATTGATTTTATTCATGAATATTTTGTCATTATAACTACAGAAAGTAAAATAATTCAATGGTGATCCAAAACATTTATTTCTTATACACAATAATAAAAGCTCTTTGTCAAATTTCACAACAAAACGTCATCCCATACACATTAAATTTAGACGAGAAACAACTCCATATTAAATAAAGTCCTTTGTGTCCTCGTAATTTGAATTCTTGTACAATTCACATTCTTCGTTCCTCTTCTCTCTCGAATTGGAATGGTTATACCCGTGGCCCTTGTTGTTCTGCTCCTTCCCACCACCACCACCACCACCACCTTCACGGCTGTGGCTGTGCCTGTCCTCCCTCCGTTTATCTTCCTTTCTTTCTTCCCTTCTTTCTTCCCTTCTTTCCTCCCTCTTCCTCCTCCTGTGTCTTTCAGAAGAATATCTGTCGGTGCTCTCACCCGTCGCGACCGACGACGAACGCGATCTGGTACGTCTCCTCCTCCTCCTCCTCTTCTTCCTCCTACGCTTGCCCCTCTTCCTAGTCTTCTTGTACCTGGGCGCCTGCTTCGAGAGGTTGACGTACGGCGATTTTTCCCTCTCCGTCATCCCCCTCCATAGCTGAGCACCCTTTTTAGTCAACTCGCATACGTCGTACTTGTGCTTGTTGGACTTCCGGAAGTCGCGCAGGAAGTTTAGGAAAGGGTTGCGGGTTACCTTGCCGGAAGATACCTTCTTGGGGCTGACCTTGCTCTGGGAAGTTCTCGTTCGGCTCCTGGAACGCTTCTCCATGGCCGCTCGCTTGAAATTTTGGGTTCTATAAGGATTTTGATGAGAATTTAGCGCGCATGTTTGCCGGTCTGACGTTTATGCATTTTTTCGCGGAATAAATGTCAAACAATGGGCAACTGGGATCGGCGCGTGGAAGACTCACGGAAGTGTAAAAAAAATTATAAACTCAACGAAATTGATACTAGAACCCAGCGTTGCCTTCTGAAAGATCAAAGCGTAGGTGGTTGGAGAATAACTGTTTTGAGAGATTATAAGTGATTACTTACGTGGATGTAAGTGATGTTTATTTATCATTTTTATAAGCTCTTTAAAAACTATGCGACAAGGATATACGCGTGATGTAAGCGAGAGACTTGCTCTTTCCCTCCCGGTAAAGTAAAAAGTGCCTTGGCGGCGTAATTTTAAAACGGAAAATGAAAAGTTTTTATGTGTTCACTTTCGAGATTTCGGCTGGCTATAGGCCATTTCCTGTAGGACAAATTTATTTTTACACACCATTATCTCCTCGTCGTGTAATGCGTTCTTCACATTACTCTTCTTTTTATTATTATATCTTGATTTATGGCATCTGCTGTTGTGGAGCGCGGCAGGGAATTTTTTGAACTCTAACCAGGACCGGACTCCACATTAGTCAACTTTTTAAATAAAAATAAATAAATAAAACACTGATAGTAGTTTTGAAACGTTCAAGTAAGAATAATATACATATTATGGCTGTACTACTTCTTGGAACACTACAAGTAATGGTGGTATATGAAGGAAAGTAATTAAATTATAATACTCAATAGTATTTTTAGCAAATGCGTCGATTATCTTTACCAACTTGTTTTTATACACATTTTAATCAACTTTACACCACCACAATATTTAATACTTAAGAACTTAAAACTACAAATTTTAAACGTCGTGGAGAAGTTTCAAGTATGTCATATGCTGTATAAATCAGGCGAGTAAACAGATTGTTTACTTATTTTTGCAGGGTGCCCTGGCATTTGATACAAAAAAGTCGAGGACAAATAGATGAGGTCAAAATAATATCAGTTCTTCATATATATATTTTTTTTCATTTGTTAACAAATTACGGGCCTTCAAATGGCAAAATTAAACAGTTATTTTTATTTATAGTCTCTAAACTGTTAACTTCAGCATGATGCAAATTTGGTGATCGATACACATGCGTACAGCTTGTTTTTGATGTTGTACCATGTTCACTATGTTAGAACCGTACATATTTTCAAAATAAGAGCCCAGAAAATCTTACTGTCCGCTCATGTAATTTTCACTAACAAAATTTGACAAACACACTTTACTCATGACACAAAATAGAAAAACAAACCAAGAATAAGTTAAAGTAAGTATTCAATTCCAAATATCGATGTACATTCAGACGTTTCTTAAAAACGTATAGACCTATTAAATTATTTAGGCCAGGAATTATAGACTTTGACAGTCTGTAACTTCATTGTTTTTCAACGAATCTTGACGATTTTTTTTTAACTTAAAGCTCTTTTCATGAGCTTTCCGAATATGTAATAATATACATATAACTTTATCATGCGTCGTATATTTAATTTTGCAACTAAGGCTAAAAAATAAAAAAAAATCCAGGTTGCAAATTCGAAATTTAAAAAATAATAATAGATTTCAATGTATTATTATGAAATCTACAATGAAAAAAATCAGTGCGATTGTCGAATATCCTGGGGATCGTCCAGACTAATAATTAGTTCATTTGTTTATAAGGCCATAACTTGTAAACTATTCAACTTACCGATTCCAGATTTCGTGTGAGTTATTAGACAGCGATAAGGAATGAGAGGATGCGATGCCAAAACGTTCTAGTAATAATAACGCAGTTTATAAATGTTTAGTTTAAAAGTCATAAATAAACTTCTTCTGTTGATAACTTTTGATCTAATCAGTATTTTTGGACGCTCGAGGGCTAGTTTTGTAGGTCTTTTGAAGACGAAAAAAAAGTACTTTACTGTTTTCTCGTGGAAATAAACGGAAAAACGTGAATTTACGTAAAAATTATACAATTAACCAGCCTGTAAACAATCTTCCCCCAATTTTATGACTGTGGAAACTAATACGTTATTGTACATAATATTTAGCATCTATAGTGATAAATTCAGCTTGCCGAAACAAAAAGTCGCGAAATGGTCATTTCTCAGCTTATTTTCCTGGCCTAACAAGTCGACAAGATTTTAACCCTACAACACGAATATACTTTCCGATTTTGATGGGCTGAATTCGAATTCGAGGTCCAAATTTCTCAATTCGCTCTTGTTTTCGAGATATCCTAACTTAAAAGTGCCAAAATCGCGATTTTTCCACATTTTTGAGGTTATGTTACTTGGAAAGGTAATTTTTTTTGTTGAAACCATTAAAGGGGTCTTAAAATACTATACATACTCTTTAAAACGCACTTAGATTTATCCAGATATCATTTTCCGTCTCTGACAAATCGCATATTTTTAATTTTTCACTGGGGAGAATCAGCGTGGACCCGCCCGGCTGAGCGCCAGTCGAATTGGCCGGCGCCGCGACTCCTGCGCCCACCGCCGAGCCTCGCAGACTCTGGGTCTCGCTGCTGCGGCCCGCAATCGTCTCCGGAGCGCGACTCAGAGCGGACTGCCGTGGACCTGGTGCAGTGCGATGGCCCTCGCGACGTGTTCAGTGTGTTTTGCGTTATGTGTGATCGCCCTGGTTGCCGGCCAGCCCCCCGGCTCGAGGGAGGCGGCCTCGGGGGAGCCCTGCCAGCCCGATAAGCTCACCGTCTACAAGGTGGTGTTGCACACCTTCTGGTCCAGGGACGCCTTCCCCAAGCACTACCCGGACTGGAGGCCTCCGGCACAGTGGTCGAAAGTTTTCGGTGAGTTTTGATGCGGGGGGCGCCCAGTTTTGGCGGCGGGGGGCGGATTTCTGTAGTTAATTGCGGTTTTGGAATAATAACCTTTGAAGCACTGCAATTTTTGGTTGAAATTTTTATTTTGCACGCAATTTTAGCTTATTTTCTAAAAAATTTTCATTGTTCTGTAGAAATCTAAACAAATTTTAAATAAATAAACACAAATAATAATAATAATAATAATAATAATAATAATTTAACAATAGATTGACCAATATTTTCTCCAAATCATTAATTTTCACATAATCTGTACTTCATTTAAAAAATATACGCGAAAACTATTGGGAAAATCGAAATTTTTCATAGGGGCAATTTTGTAGAAAATTTAATTCTGAACAACTTTTATATTAAGTTTTTTCCGAAAAAATGCATCTTTATTGAGATATTGGCAGTTTTTGGCGAAAAAGCGCGAAAAATCATACATACATATCTATATCTCAAAACGCTGTATGTTCCTAGTAGTTGTATACATATGTTGCACATGTTTTCTGACCTCAAAACCTACACTTTTCTATAAAAAAAGTGCATATTAAAAAAGTTCGCTCATTTTTTCATTATTTTCCCGGACTATCATGCATTCACACCACAAACAATATTAGAGAATAAATATTATAAATTATATTAAAACCTATCTATACGCCCTGACAAAACAATCGTACATAATATAGCACTACTGGGGTTTCTGGTCGAAACTTCTCGAAGCGAGAATTCCCGGGAAATCTGGCCTTACTCGAGACGAGAAAAAAGTGTCGAGAAATCGAGAAATTTAAAAATCACGCGCGTCTTAAGTTCTTGACTGGAGTTCGTTTCGTTCATGCGTTCAATTCGTTTCTCGACAAATAACTGAGCGGTTAAAGTGGTTTCTCTACCAGCTCATGATTTATTTATTTTAAGTTTTTAAGGCTTTAGTTTACTTTGATGATTCTTTTTTTTAATGTATAGGGTGATTCACTATATTTTGACCCCCCTTTAACTTTTTTGTTTTAACAGTTATAAAAAATGTGAAATACAAGAGTTGTACGATTTTTTATGAAGTTTTCGAAAATGATAGTAGAAAAACAAATGAAGTTCAAACAAAATGGCCGCGGATCCAACAATTAAAAAATATTTTATTTTCTTAATAAAAAACGTTCTTTTCGTTTTTTAATATTGTCTCGCTTATTGTTAGAGATGGACCCAACAATTAAATTCCATTTAAATTAACAAAGTTAACATCCGCGGCCATTTTGTTTGAACTTCATTAATTTTTCTACTATCATATTCGAAGATTTCATAAAAAATCGTGCAACTTTTGTATTTCACATTTTTTTATAACTCTTAAAACGAAAAAGTTAAAGGGGGGGGTCAAAATATAGTGAATCACCCTGTACCTAGTTATAAGTCTGTGTAGAAATTTTATTATAAGCAGATACCTAATGTTGAAGTGATAAATTAATAGGAAGAACGGTTCTGTATCTTTAAATTAAAGCTTGTTTTTTTTAAGATTTCTTCGATTAAATTCCTTATTTACTATTTATTTAATTAAAAGACTGCATGATTAATGATTATTAATAATTATTATTGGAAGAAAACTACGATACAAAAACATTGAAATAAACATAAGTATATTTAAAGTGTTTAATAAAAAAAACACGTTAAAGGTTTTTAAGAGGAAACTCAAAGTTCAATTTAGTTTTGTTAGTAGAAGTTAGAAACATAAGTAATTAATAAAAATACTGAATAAATAATAAATGTTAATGATGATTGTTAAGTATAATAGCATGTTTATATTTCGCATTGCAATACCAAAACTATGACTTTTTTAAGTTTTAGAAATTCCCGGGAATTTCTAGTCGAGAATTCTCGAGACCCGAGAACAAAAAATAGGCCGAGAAATCAAAAACCCTAAGCACTACCATCTGTCTAAAGTATAATAAAAAATACTCGGAAAAGAAACAAAAACGTTAAGAATCGGCAACAGAAATAGAATGAAATTGGAAACAAAAACAAGACTAGAACTAGCTGAATAAATCGTAAATCCCGTTTTAGATTTACCATTTTTTATCTGTACCTTTTAAATTGGACCCAAATTGAAGTAAATTTTCCAGCTTCAATGAAATTAATTGGTTAAAATTCGAGGAAATAGAAATAATCCCAATTTATTAACCAATTTTGGAGATGCTTACTGTTTTTTTGATCGATACTACCTATTTAAACAATGTTACATAGACAGTTTACATCTCTTCCATACCAGGGAGGGGGGTATTTTTTGAGTACAAAGTATTGAAAAAAAAAAATATAATTGGGCAGTTTTATTTTAAGTACTATTGAAATATAGAGAAAATATGCCCAACATTATTTTTTATAGTTAAAAGTCAATTGTTCTGCTTTTGTCCGAAATAAACTTTTTTATTAAAGTTTGGTATTTCTTGCAACATTTATTTTTCATTGCAACTATTGTAAGGCTGTCTTTACAATCTGATTTAACCCTTACAATATTTTAAAAAACACCCAAGAAACATTGTAAACTAAATTTTAAATTAAATTTTTTTACATGAAAATTTCCAGGATTATCGCATTTGTATGACACAAGATATAAATAGTTTGTAGTTTGTTGCTATTGTGATTAACTTTTATTTTAAAGAATGGTAGTCTTAAATTTGACCAATAAATTGACGAAAATAACACTGAAATACCGAATTATTTCGCCTAATGAGCAAATCCAAAACGAAAAAAAGGCTTCTGTCAGCGCTCGAGAATTTTTTCCATGGCAACAAGTTGCTTTCAAAAACAACCTCTTAATTTTGACATCTTAAAGGAGTTATTTCAGCACGTACCTAATTATAAAGAAAAATATTACAACACAATTCACTTAAAACATTATTTAGACTTGTGTCTATTTAAAAAAATTACTTGGCGTTGAGGATTTTGAGTGACACACGGGCATCTCGCTCCAAGCATTCGAAAAATGTTAGCTCACACATAATTTACTACGTTCTAAGGATCATTAACTTTTCCTAACCCACGTATTTTACCACGAACAGCGACTAAAAATAGCGACAATAACTAGCGCTTTCCGTTTGGGCGGTTCTTATCCAATTAGACATAAAAAAAAATTATTAAAACATCCATTAAGGCAAATTGAAAGGTACGTTGTCACTTCTTTGTTATCGCGGGTTTTTGTTGTTAATTTCAGTGATGAATTATTTCCTTTTGAACAGCCAGCTTCTTCAGACAATTCCTTGCTTGCTTTGTTCAGGGAATCAACTAAATTGAATTCGTACTATCTGAAGGATTATAAGATAGTTTCATAATTAGGTTGCTGCACTTGTTTCAACTGCAGTCTGCTGAAATCTGGGCCTGCAGAATATGGATTTACTTCGTACTTTGTTAACATTTATTAACTCAAATATACACAAGCAGTAACAGTAACACGATAAGTGTTATGATAATAAAATGTATGGTTGTATATTATCTATTTGCTTAATATCAGTGGCGGCTGGTGCGGGAGAGCTCGATGGTACTCCCCCCCCCCAAGAAATTTTCACAGTAAAACAAATTTTAATATTTAGTTTACAAAATTCGTTTGAAAACACTGAATATGTGGGCCCCTCGCAAATCGCCCCTAAATCTGTAAAGTGTTTACAGCGGTGGTCATGGTTACAATGGCGCAGCAGTGAAGGACAGAGTGGGAGTAGCGCATAATTAATAAACGCTTTGGGCTCTGTTTAATCCGTTCATAGCTATTCACTTCTTTTTTTCTTATTAAACGTAATTTGTTTACGTGTGGTATAAAATTTTGTTACCTACGCATTGTTTCTTGTGTGTTTTTAAAGATCACTATAAAAAATTATGTTGAGCACATTTTCCCTATATTTCAATAATAATACTTCAAATAAAACTAACCAATTTGATTTTTTTTCAACACTTTGTACCTAAACTTTTCCCCCTCCCTGGTACGGTCAAGTCAAGACCCGTCACTGCTTAATATCCACCGATCTAACTCGGAGTCGATCCAAGCAGGCTTCGAAGAACATTTTCGCCACCGCCGCCTATCCCTAAATAAACCTAAAGCCCCTTTTACCGACGACTAGACCTCTCTGTGCTAGAAATAGCGTCGTCCTAGACAAACAGCCGCGCTGGTAAACACCGCCGAGACCTGTACGAATTTTATATCAAATATTTAAGGTGGAATAGAACGCTAATATTGACTCAAAATCCCGTCCGACCCCCCGCCCCCCAGTACCTGATCCCCCTCTATAATAACTCGGCAAACTCAAACACAAATAACTGGCGAACTGATAATAATATCAGCGGTAATGGCACAACACGCTGCCGTACGCCGCGAGGGCTTGTTCGGGACAGGGGGGGGGAAGTTTTTGGGTAACCTCTTCATTGCGCCCCTCGGGCCGGATCGTTATCGAGGCCTGACTGCCACTGACAATGGTTTAGGTTACAGCATAGCTATTTCGAACTTTGAATTTGTTAACTGAGATGTTTTAAATTATAAAAACAAACTATTTCTAATCACGACGGCGCGATCGATATGTCGCGCGACAAATTGTCGTATCGTGTGAGAGCGGACTAAAATCGTTTGACCAGGGCAGCTAAAAAGTACCAACAAATAAGATATTTTTAACACTATATTGTAGGCAGTATAGTTTTCGCAAATCGTATATCGAATACATCGAAATCACTTACATCTTTATTATTGCAGATTTTCAACCTGTACCTCGAAAACTAATTATTTTCCGACTCATTTATAGAAACTTTTTTCTTATTTCGACTGTCACCACGTAAAGACGGCTTTAAACATTGACAGACAACTGTCGCGCGACAAATTGTCGTTCCGTGTGAAACCGGCTTAACTTCCTCCGACCGCGTGTGAAAAATCGGAACACTTTTTAATTTTCGGGCGAAATAACGATCCTGGTGGAATGTTCGTGAGCAGCGGCGGTGGCTGCTAATGGCAATAAATCGCCCGT